AAAAATAAATTTAGATAAAAATTTAACATATTATATAAATAATAATTAAAAAATATTTAATAACTCTTATTGTTTTTATAAATTATTAATTTTTTATTTAAAAATTATATTTAAAAAGTTAAGAGGTCAAACCAAAAAGGCTTAATCTTATTTTTGGTCCCTCAATTTGAGTGTTTTGTACCGACTTTATCCCTTAGCTCCATTCTACACTTTTTTAGTCCTCAACTCCAAATTTTTGCGTCAAACTTGTCCCTCTGTCAAGTCTCATCCAAGTCCGTCAACTCCCACCCAAATCTGCTCATTAAGCTAAGCTAATGAGCTATTTCCATATCATAAAATTAGAATGACATAGCAATTACATGTAGGAAAAAAAAAAAAAAGTTGAGTTGGACAATTGTAGGTTTCAACACTTTGATGCAAAATTTCGAAGTTGAAAACCTAATAAATTGCCACTGAGAAGTGTCAACACTTCAAGATAATGTTGATACCAAGTTTGTGTTGGACTTTTTACGCTTGGGCATTGTATTTTTTTTCAACAACAAGAAAACATAATCAAAATAGATATTTGGTCAAATATAATAAAAATACTAGAGAATAGTAACTTATAACAATGGTTAATATGAAAAAATTCAATAGATTATTGTATATTATTATTATTCAGTATTTATAATGTTACATTTACAATATTGCACATAAATTCATAATTAAATATCTAGATATGTCAATAATAAAATAATTAAAAAAAATGAAAATTATGATATGATCTTTACAATCGTAAATTTTACCAAGGAAATGAGAAATATCAGTTGCTCCAACCAAAAGAAATATCAAAGAAATCAAACATATAAGATGTCTTAATTTTTTTTTGAAAGGTAGTTAAAGAAACACTACGGGTAAGAATTGAATGAGAAATATCACAAAAACACCTTATTGCCTTTAAGTCAATTTCTTATTGCCCTCAAGTCAATTTCTTATTGCCCAATAGAATGTGCAAAATGTAATTGACGATGATTTCTTTCTTAAAAAAAAAAAAAACCATAAGAAGGAAATATTGAGAATTGGCTACATTAGTCATTATAAAAGAAAATGTCAAAGAAAAAATTTTCCAAAACATAATTGAAGTGAGACAATATGTTTTGACGAGCACTTCATCTCTTAGCATCCCTCTTTTCTAATTCACAATTTAGTTGCATTTACAATGAAATTTCATGGAAATATCCTATTGTCATTAGTTATTGTCCAAGCAATGGGATAACATTTTGTGTTAGAATTGGTCAATATAACGAGTAGTAAAGTCCCTTACCAAATAAACTCTAATCCCTTTGGTGTTGTTGATCAATCAATCAACATTTTTTTTTTGTCATAATAAATCAACATCAACAGTTGAATGAGACAATATTTTGTTTATTATTATTATTATTATTATTATTATGTATTTATAATGTTACATTTGGAATATTGCAAGTAAATTTATAATTAAATATCTAAATATAGCAGTAGTAGAGTAACCAAGAGAATAAAATTATCACATGATCTTTGTTGTCGGGAATTTTACCAAAGAAAGGAAAAGTATCAGGTGCTCCATCCAAAAGAAATATCAAAGAAATATCAAAGAAATCAAACATATATGATGGGTTAATTTTCTTTGAAAGTTAGTTAGAGATATGCTATAGGGAAGAATTGAATGAGAAACATCACAAAAGCATCTTATTGCCTTTTAGTCAATTTCATATTTGCCCAACAAAAGGTGCGAAATATAATTGACAATTTCTTTCTTCAAGAAAAAAAAACCAATAAGAAGAAAATATTGAGAACTGGCTATATTAGTCATTGTAAAGGAAAATGTCAAAGAAGAAATTTTTCAAAACATAATTGAAATAGGACAGTATGCTTTGACGATCACTTCATCTCTTAGCATTCCTTTTTTCTCATTCACAATTTAATTGTATTTACAATAAAATTTTATGGAGACATTCTATTGTCATTAGTCATTGTCCAAAAAATGGAGTCATTGTCGAAAAGATGGAGTAACATTTAAGATAAATATAAGGTAACATTTTGTATCAAAGTTGGTTAATTAGATAGAGTTGTGAAATTCTTTACCAAATAAACTCTAACTCTTTGGTTTTACTAATCAATCACTCAACATTTTTTTTCCTATAATAAATCAAAATCAACAATTGAATGAAGCAATATTTTGTTTTTGTTTTTTTTTTTCTAAATATTATTATTTTCTATTTGTAATGTTACATTTGCAATATTGAAAGTAAATTCATAATTAAACATTTAAATATATTAATAATAATAGAATAACTAAGGGAATGAAAATTATGATATAATCTTTACAGTAAAAAATTTTACTCAGAAAGGAGAAGTATCAATTACTTTAACCAAAGGAATCAAATAAATCAAACATATATGATAGGTTAATTTTCTTTGTTGAATAAAATGTCTCATTTATCTTGATAAAGGTGTATATGATCTAATTTATTGAGAGCTCTTGCTAAATCATAATTAACAAATCATACCATCTCATTTGAAGCATTTTGGATTATTTGTAGCTTTTAACACTTTGAAGCAAAATTTCAAAGTTGAAAACTCGATAAATTGCCATTGAGAAGTGTCAATACTTTAAGATAGTGTTGATACCAAGCCTGAGTTGGACTTTTTAAATTTGGGCATTGTATTTTCTTTTAACAACAAGAAAACACATTCAAAATAATTATTTAGTCAAATATAGTAAAAATATTAGAGAATAGTGGCTCATAATAGTGGCTAATATAAAATAATTCAATAAACTATTGTATATTATAAAATAATTAAATAATCATGAAATAATATTTTTAATATTCTATCTAAAATATTATTTGAATTCAAAAACATTATGTAATTATTATAACCACACATAATTTCTTAATGAAATCATGCATATTAAATATAAATTATGTTTAAATATATTGATTATGTAGTAGTTACATATCTAAAAAACTAAAGAATACCATCTAAATTATTTCTTCTTTGATTCCACTTTCTAGTCCTAACACTCACTATCATTGTACTGCATCCCTCTTATACTTTCTGAAAGAAATCTACCCCCCAACATATATGTATAATAGGAAGCTTGCGTTTTTTGAAATATTATCATCTTATATAATACAATAATAATATAAAACAGATCTTAATTTACATTATAATAAAGGCAAATAAGAATTCAACTACCACTACTCAAACTTTAAATATTTAATTAAAAAATCATTATTTATAAAGGTAATGAGATAAATGCAAACACCATTATATGTGGGGATCTATGTTTTTTTCTCTCTACTATCATGCATCTCAAAACCAAATCATATATTTTTTGCACTATATTTATCAAAAAAATCTCATTGAGAATTTCACCAAAAAACGTTTTATCCTTCAAATACCACAATTAAAAAAATCAAAACCCTAAAAAAGTCTAAAATATATACCTCATATCTAGTAATATTCATACTCCACTTCTACTCAACTTCAATGACTTTTTTGTGATTGGAGTCCATAAAACATGTAGTACATAGATAAAAAAAAATTTTAAAATTTTAAGTAATTTCTTTCAAAATCTAAAGTTAACAAAAAAAAATTATTTAAAGATGTTAAGGATTTTGTTTTTTTCCTTTTGTTGTACTCTACAATGAATCCTTTAAAGTAAACCCTTTGAATGGATAGGCGAATGAGATGGGACAAAATTTGTCTATCTAGACATTTTTTCTTCGAATGTAATTGTCATGTCATTAAAATTTTAGAAATCTTGAGGTGGCCGTTAGTTTAACAAGCGGAGTTGGACGACAGCTGATGGGAGTTGATGGGGGAATTAATGGAGGGATGTGGTTGGTGTAGAAATTTGGAGAAAGGGGACCAAAAAAGTGTAGAATGAAGTTAAGGATAAAATTAATCCAAAATACTTAAATTAAGGGACCAAAAACGATATAAATCAACAAAAAAAAATTATAAATTTGAAGGGAGGGAGTATATTATTACAACTGTAACAGAAAAGAATCCAGTTTCCTTTTCAACAACACTGTTACCTTTCCTTCTCGTCCTTCTCCTCCTAATCTAATGATAAAAGTCATCTTATTTCTTTCTCTCTCCTAAAAGCTTTATTTCTCTCTCTAAAAATCCTCTCCTCTAAGTACAATCCTCGCTAGACCCGTTCCCTCTCTTCATCATCCCAATCTGTCCATCTCCTTTTCTTTTCGTTTATATCCTGCCCTTTTCCTCTTCTCTCTCTAGGGTTTTTGATTCTATCCTCGCCGGAGATGACGACCACTTCCGTCAAGAACAACCTCTTGCCGCCGGGCCTCGTCAACAATCTCCAGGAAGTTCTTCAAAATAGGAAAGGAAACGCTGCGCAAGGGGAAGCTGACAACTCCGCCGGGGAATCCACTGAGCCGTCTACTTCTGCTACTAATCAGAATCCCGCTGACGAAATCGACGGCACCAAGCCGGTTGTTTTGGTCACCAATGGAGATGGAATTGAGTCCCCTGGCCTTGTGTATCTCGTCGAAGCCTTGGTCCGTGAAGGCCTTTATAATGTCCACGTTTGCGCTCCCCAATCGTGTGTTTCCTTTTCTTTTTCCACTCTGAATCCACTTTTCAGTTTCTGTTTCTGAAATCTGTTTCTTTTGTTATTTATTTTTGATGTATTAGTTTGTGTTGTGAATGCATTGCTTTAGGGATAAATCTGTTTCTGGCCATTCCGTTACACTTCGAGAAACAATTGCTGTGACTTCAGCAGAGATTATTGGCGCTACAGCTTTTGAAGTTTCAGGTATTGTTAGATTTTCGATTTGATTTACTCTAACTTGCCTCAAATGTTATTGCTGTTTGTTCTTTCTCCCTAATTTTGTTATCAAAGCATAATGTGTATTGGTTTTCCTGTCATGCTTGTAGATCTTGTAAATAGAATGTACTGAATGTTTCTTGGTGTAAATGTTGCATCAGAGTCATCATTACTCTTTGTCATGATCAATCTCACATTTTCTAGTTTTGACCATGTTCCCCACACTGGTTTTGACATTTTTTTGCAAGCTCGTTTAAGGTTAAATTTTGATCTCTGGTAGTCAATAGTAACTGGCTTTTCTACTGTTTCTTGTCACTTAGGGACTCCTGTGGATTGTGTATCATTAGCATTATCTGGGGCGCTGTTTTCATGGTCAAAGCCTGTGCTGGTTAGGTCTTCGTTCCCTTATCATGGGATTACTTTTAAATTCTGGTGTTCCTTATGCTGAGAATATCTTGATGTAATTTACAGGTAATTAGTGGAATTAATCGAGGATCAAGCTGTGGACATCACATGTAGGTTTATGTGGATATCTTTGGTCAATTTTCATATTAATTATGTTTCTATTTATAATTTAGTACAGTAACTATAAAAGATTCCTTTTTGAATTTGTATCCCCCATTGATATGGTTTAAAACTGCTGCTTGGTGTTTCACACGTCTTATTCTTGTTTTTGTTGAATTTTTCTAGCCCATATCTGAATGCTAATTTGTTTTTTAACGTATAAATCCACCAGGTTTCACTCAGGTGTTGTTGCAGGAGCAAGGGAGGCATTAATTTCTGGTGTACCATCTTTGTCCATATCTCTGAACTGGTGAGTCAACTATTCCTTATTATGGGAGACTTCATTGTAGTTCTCTTTTTTTTTGCATCCAATTCTTCCTTTTTGGATGTTGTATGCAATTACAGGAAGAAGGAAGAAAGCCAAGAAAGTGATTTTAAAGATGCAGTCGCTGTTTGTTTGCCTCTAATAAATGCAGCTATAAGAGATATAGAAAAGGGTGTTTTCCCACAGAGTTGCTCTCTGAATATAGAGATTCCTACAGCTCCTCCAGCAAACAAGGTTTGTATCTCTGCCATTAAGTATTTGACAATTTAATTTAATTTTTATGACACTTTCAGTTGATGTACACTGAAATTAGATCTCATGGTGGGATGATTTATAATTTTGGTCATAGTTTTTGACATGTCTGCTTCATTCCGTTTGACAATTAAAGGTGGTTCCATGGCAAGGTGCTATCTTTGTTTGTGCTTTGTGCCAGGAAAGGTAAAATCTGATAGGTTGCAATGATCATCAAATGTAATTGCATGAATATATATTAGGGCCCTGAAACATAATAGCATGAATTTACATGGGGAGTGAGTAACACTAGGTTTGTGAGGTTAAACAAGTGGGAGCATCTAATGGAAGACAATCATGTGGTAAATGAAACTGGTCAGTTTTATTATGTAGAAATTTGATCAGGAGAGTGTAATTTATAAATTATATCCAAACCTATAAGAGAAATAAAATAATGCCTTTCACAGTCTATGTAATATTGTTTATGCCTTTTAACCTTTAAGATAAATGGAATTGATACAATGTTCTGGTAAACACATCTTCTATTTTTTATGGTAATTATTGCGGAATTACAATGGTACTTACGGGCATACTATCCAAGTTTCAGACCATATAACCTGATGCTAATTTCAACAAGTTCTCACAGGAGGAAGCTTCAGGCCCTTGAGTATTTACTTTATAAACACAGAAGACAAAAAAAAAAAAAAATGGTCCTATCTTTGAATCATCCTAATTCTGAAAAGATTTTATATCTCAGGAAAACATTCTGTTTGGGATCTTAAATGATGTCCAACCTTGTTTTTGTTTGTTTTGCATAATTAAGAGAGAAAGCAGGAAAGTTCAAAAATTGATCTCAAGCTTAGAATGATGGAACATTGTTTGTGAAGGGATGGACATGTGTACTAATCTGTTTAACTTTTTGAGCCTCTCTTGATAGAAGTCCTGGCTTAGATGATCTGATGTCTTAAGCCAAGACTGATTATTTTGTGGCTGGTCTTTGATTTTGTCTCGCCAATTTTGTTTCTTAGGCATAGAGGATGTGCATGTTTAATGAATAACCATCATAAATCTTGAGCCACTATGCTGAAGTTATCATAAATATAGTAATTGGGTTTCCTGACTGGGTATTAAGATTTTCCCTTACACAAACACAATAATTTTGCTGTGTTACAATTAAAGGCCAGAGCTTGCGGGAATTCAAAAAATTTGTTATCTTGAGACTTAAATATTGTGTGCAACAGCATTTGAAACCCTTATGTTATAGGTTTAATCTGCTCCAGCGTTTTCATGTTTCTTGCGATGGACTTTACAAATTCAATTTCTTGGTGTCTTAGTTGGGCTTATGTTATTGTTTTCTACTGTTTGTCCAAGGGTCTGTTTGGAGTAGAACTTAAACTTACTATCAGCTGAAACTTGGTTGACCTGAACGCTATGTTATGTATATCTTTGGTAGACATTACGGAAATTTTTCTAGCTGCCACGGCACAGTAGATGATGGTGCAAACTGATCAAGCAAAGCACAAAGAAGGATGACTTGAACTTTCTACTTTTTATTTTTTGACAGCTCTTTTAGCTATTAGTGTTAGATTGGGACTTGAACTTGAACTGGTTGACTTTATAGAGCAATGTTAGATGGTTGTTGATTCATCCAGGCTTTTCCATCATTGCTGTCACTGATCCTTGTATTTTGAGCTTGCATAGTTGCATTTAGGAGCATAGACACATACACACACAGATGTTGTTACTGCATGCCCCAGACCGCCACCTTTATCGTGGAGATAGTTCTGATTCATCTTTCTAAGTGCTCAAATTACCTGTGATATAGATAAAGTCAGATATATCACTCTTG